GATGTGCTCCGGCAGGGTGGGGGCAGTGGTGGTATTCAGCAAAAGGATTAGTCCAGAAAAGGAAAAGAGTTGAGGGTCTAGTTGTAGCAGTAACCCACAAGCCCTAGAAGTCCAGAGTTGGTGTTCAAGGAATTGTAAGACACCAAGTATTAGTTTGAGCCTAAGTGTAATCCATTTTAATCTCTTTTTTTTTTTTTGCCAGTTTGGGGGTTCAAACTCAAGGCTTGGGTGACATTCCTGAGCTACTGTACTCAAGACTAGAACTAGTTCTCTACCACTTGAGCTACAGTTCTACTTCTGGCTTTTTGGTGGTTAATTGGACATAAGAATCTCATGGACTCTCCTGTAGAGGCTGGCTTCAAACTGTGATCCTCAGATCTCAGCCTCCTGAGTAGACAATTAAGTGTGGGGAATTCAAGTTTCGGAGCTCTAATAACTCTACACTTCATACACTGGCTTAAAACACACATAAGGAACCAGCCTTCAAATACAAAGCTGCTGGGGACCCTGGATGAGGGTTGCACCTTTTGTTCCTTACCAACCTGTCAAGAGCTATAAGAAAACCGTGTTCTACCAGCTTAGACAAAGCATGGTGGCAGGCCGTTCTACATTGGAGAAGGTGCCTTTCATAGGACACTGATTTTGCTTGGTAGATGGCCTTTGCATAGCTGTCAGGTATGTGAATCAATGAGCTCTCTCTCTGAATGGGCTGTTACAGTGGTCCCCATTAAAGTGCTGTTGTTGAAAAGAGGCAACCTGCCTGCCATGAGTGACCTATGTCAGAAACAGCTGGACATGTGTCTTTCCAGTCAGAATTTATTAAATAACAACTTCAAAAGCTATGTCAATATCCTTATTGTTAACTTTCCAGGTACAACAGAGGTCACTTGATAGGCTAGGCCGTTGACAACACAGGTCCTTTAATGGGGTTGAACTTGGGACCTGTCACTCTTAACCCTTCTGACCGGTGTTCAACTATTTGAGCTGTGCCTCCACCTCCGGATTTTTGCTGGTTGCATTTGATTTCTCAAATCTCAGTCTCTTGATTAGCTAGGACTATAAGCACAAGCCACCTATGCCCAGCTCTTTATTCCAACCTTAATCTTAACTAATATTCTCAGATTACACAGCATATGTCACAATAATATAGATGATGGCTAGGACAGCTGTGTGTGTGTGTTTGCGCGCACGCGCACGCATGTGCATGTCAGTGCTAAGGCTTGAACTCAGGGCCTGGTCTCTGTTCTTAGCTTTTTAGCTAAAGGCTGGTACTCTACCACTTGAACCACGATTAATTGGCGATTAATTGGAAATAACAGTATTACAGGGGTTTCCTGTCCCGGCTTGCTTTGAACCATGATCCTAAGACCTTAATCTCGTAAGTCCCTAGGGTTACAGGCATGAGCCACTGGTGCCCAGCTAGGAAAGCCTCTAAAGGGATGTAGGGTCAAAAGAACCCTTGCCTCTAGCATTGATACAAATGCCAAGAGATACAGTTGCAAAGAAGGTCAAGGCAGGTGGTCAGATAAGATACTAGTAACAGTGCCAGAGATGTGGAGGCCTGATGCTGTGAAAACACAGGGCTCCAGGATAGGTGACCATTTAAGTGCATCCCATTAAATGGGAGCTGAGCTGAAGTCCCACCATCAGAGTTGCAAGTTGTCATCTGTTGATTCTTTTTTTTTTTGGGTCTGGTCGTGGGGCCTGAACTCTGGGCCTGGGCACTGTCCCTCAGCTATGCAGCTCAAGGCTAGCGCTCTACCACTTGAGCCACAGCGCCACTTCTGGCTTTTTTCTTTTTGCTTATGTGGTGCTGAGGAGTGGAACCCAGGGCCGCAGGCATGCAAGGCAAGCGCTCTACCACTGAGCCACCTTCCCAGCCCCCATCTGTTGATTCTTGAGGTATGATGGGTTGGTGTGTACCTGCCCTCCTGCTAGCATTCTTTTCACATGTTCGGCTGAGGGGGTATACATCAGTCTGGATCTGCTGTTTTTGATGTTTGCTGAGGCAATTGTTTATTACTATAATTATCAGTTTGCTCCTCATAGTGTGATGATAAGTGATTGTTGTTTACTTACATAAACACAATATAGAATCATTCTGTTTGGAGGCACTTGTACTCAAAGCGAAATGGCTTAGGTCAAAACAACTGTATTACATAATGGAATGGGTTAAAGCTAGCTGCGATCTTACATCCTAGAGTAACCCAGAGCAAGCTGCCTAATGCAAGCCATTTCTTAGATACTTGATACTACAATTGGACTCATAACAGACTTCTATACTGAGAAAATTGAGAACTGAACTGAGGAGTGGTGTTTCAGTGAATGGGACAGTACTTCAACAAGGAAACAAGATTTCTCACGCAGTCACGCTGTGTCTGAGGGACCAGTTGTTCCGCCACTTGTAAAACGTCTACATGAAAGTACGTATTATGGTTATGACGCATTGGTAGAATTCATCTGACCTTATAACAACAGTCAATACTACCAGCTCCTCAAACAGAAAGAAGACCTCTGAAGAAAGGAGCCCAATATATGAAACATTCTTTTGAAAAGTGGCAAGTGGATTCTACTTGAAAACTTGAACTGTTCATGCGAACTGATACCTTTTCAGTTGGGTTGAGACCTATCTCAGCAAAACTGAAAAAGTATCAGATGTCTATTTTGCTAAAAGATATAATTCCTAGATACAGACCACCATCTTGAGAGTGTGGCAACAGAGGTTACTAAGGAAGGAAGCAGTCTTGGCATTAAAGGTACACGCATCACGAAGATCTCAAGTCTACTGGAAACCTGGAAACGCAATTAATCATACACGAAAAGAGTGATAGCCATGGGACTGGGAATGGGGCTTGGTGGTAGAGTGCTGCTAGCCTTGAGCAAAAAAGAAGCTCAGGGACAGTGCCCAGCCCTGAGTTCAAGCCCCATAACTGGCCAAAACAAACAAAACTGATAGCCAAACTATGTCAAACAAGCAAACTCAACATAACTGAGCACTTGGTGGCTCACCTCTGCAGTCCTAGCTACTCAGGAAGTGAGATCTGAGGGTCACAGTTCAAAGCTGCCAACCCCAGGCAGGAATGTCCGTCAGACTCTTTTATTTCCAATAAACCACCAAAAATCTGGGGAAGTGGAGCTGTGGCTCACGTAGTAGAGTGCTAGCCCTGAGAAAAACTGCCGAGGGCATTGCCTAAGACCCTGAGTTTCCCAGGACTGGCAAAAACAATACTACCACCAACAAAACCACACAAAATAGGACAATGTATTGTCAATTGTCCTTCTCCACATAACAATATGTTCCCTAGAAGATTGTTGGTATTAATTTAAGACATGGGGTATGATCCAGGCTTCCCCAAAGAATAGGGCCAATGTTGAATTTCAGGTCTTCCGTTTGCCAGACATGTCCTATGTCCATTTGTGAAGAGTTCGTAGCAATACATCAAAAGAGAAAGCTGATGTACCTACCCCTAATATGTCTCTGTAATCTTACAACAAAAGGAGTTGATGGGAGGGGTGTTTGCCGTTCTAACTTTACAGTTTAGTTCTGGATCCTAATTTCTGAATTCCCTCCTCCCATACACTTTCCCTTTTTTTTAGTTATCTTTTTTGGTGATACTGGGTTTGAACTCAGGCCTCAGGATGGCTTGGCCAGGCTCTCTTAACACCTGAGCCACGCAGCTCAGTCTGACTTTTATAATGCCATCTACCTGTCCTGCCCCAACAGTCCTCCCTTCCTGACAGACCGGTCACCTGGCCTATCAGGAGGCTAGCCTAGCTGAGTATCTTGGAAGACAGCGGGTGCACAGGCTTTGCTGGGTTCGGTGGCCGCCATTCCTGAGGTGTGGCCATGCTTGTAGACCTGCATGCTAGTGAAGCCAGCGGGTAGAAGGATGGTGCTTCTCACTTTGCATGTCTGGTCGCGCCCCTGACTCTGGTATGGGCCATTCCGCCAGGACTGCGCCGAGGGGAGGCAAGGGAAGAGGGCAAAACGGCACAGCGGAGAACCCCGGGCTGGCAGGATCCGAAGGCAGAAGGAGAAAGGAGCGCGGTGGAGCTCCACAGCGGCCGGCCCGGGCAGGAGGCACCGCGGGCGCGGCCACCACCGCTGCCGGACGCGGGATTCTTTGGCCCTCGGACCCCGAGTCGTTCGGCGCTGGCTGAAGCCGGACTCCATCTTGTTGGGCTGCCCCACGCGTGGACGTCCCGCAGCTCCCCGCAGAGCCACGTCCTCGCCAGCCCGGGCGCGCGGGCCGTGGTGTCCAGAGCCGGTCCGGCGGAACCGGCGCGGAACCGGCCCTCGCTACTCCACGGGACGGGGCGGGACGCCGCCGCGCGGGAACGGGCCGCGGGCCGCGGGCGTCACCGCGTCACACACCCCGTCACACACCCCGTCACACCTCGGCCCCCGTGCGTCACCGTGGGCGTCATCGCGTCACCCCGTCACACCTCGGCCCCCGTGCGTCCCCGCGTGTCACCTCGTCACACCCCTGTCCGCGGGCGTCCCCGCGCCCGGCGGCCGCACCGCGCCACCCGT